CCTCTCCCTTCTTTCTGAGTGAAAGGGAGCTGTAGTGAGAAAAGGGTCGTGCTAAGGAAAGCACCGTCTTGCAGCCAGGTCTTGGACGGGAAGGAGCTGGATGGAATTCTCCTCTGAGCAGAGGAGGTTAGGGCTACAGGGGCACTGGGGAGGTGCTGGGCGCCCACCTGAGTTGTAACTGACGATGTCCACCCCCAGCGCGGGGCTCTTCCGCTTCCGGGGCCGCCCCTTCTGCACGGTGCCAGCGCCATTGAAGTAAGGCAGGGCCAAGCCGCCGCTCTTGGCCGCCAGCTCGGTGTAGCTCAGCTGAGGTGGATACTCCCCTTGCAAGAGGGTCTCGAAGTGGGCGCGACAGTACACCAGGCTGTCCTTCATGCCAAAATGATCGCCCGTGGTCAGGGTCTTGTTGCAGGTGGAGCAGGTGAAACAGCTCAGGTGGTAGACGGAGTCTCGGGCGCGCATGACCATCTCGGAGGCGGAAATGCCAAGGTGGCAGCGGGCACATCTCTGCACAGAGAACCTTCTGGAAGGAAACAGTCGAGTCAGGGCACTGGTGGAGGCAAAGGCAGGGCCACCTACCACTGTGACACCTGGGGCATGGTCAGCAGTGGCCCAAGACTGAGACCTGGGAGGGGTCAGGGAGGGAAGGACCCACGCCCACTTGGACATTAATTTTATTTGCTCATTGACCTGCTCTGGTGAACAAGACAAAGAACCCTTGCATTAAATTCAGAAGAATCGGGTAACTGATCCTCCGTTTTCTTCTCTGTAAAGTGAAAATTTTAAAAAGCAAAAACAAAAACAAACCCTGCACTGGCTAACTCACAACACTATGTCAAGAATATTACATTGCGATGTCAAGTGAAAACGGTTCCTCGATTACAAAACATACAAACAAAGGGTGTTACTATTTATGGAAGCGTGAGCGTGCCTGAAAGCATTCAGACACGGCCCTGGAAGAAAAAGGACAGTTTTGCCGAGGGAAGCTCATTCTTTTTTAACCACTTTTCTCGCTTCAGCCGACAGCGGAGTCGAGTCCCTGCACAACGCTCGCGTCCCCAGTCCAAAAGCAGAACTGGGAAGAATCAATAAACAAGCTGCCGGCGACTTGACTCTCCGGCGTCTCTCGAGGCTGGCGGGCAGGTTCCAACCAGCGGGAAAGGCATCTCGGAACTGAGAGGCCTGGGTTTCGGCAACAGCGATCACTCCTTTTCATGGACCTTTACGTGAGTTCCCGCCCCCCCCATCCCGCGAAAACCTGCCACCAGTTGCGGCTGCCCCGGCCACCAGTTGAGTTCCAAGGCACTGGCCTTGTTCAGTTCGTAGTAAACGGAAAAAAAAAAAAACCCGCTTTCTTCTCGGTGGACCGAGAAACGTTCATTTACCTTTCCGAGATTTGCCCAATCCCCTCGGCCGAGCTGCCAAGCGCCCCCTGAGCGGGATAGTCGCTGATCAAGCTCTGGACCTTGGGTGCCCCCGTCCGCGCGCATCCTCCCCGCGCGTCTGGCGGGGATGGGGATGCTGCAGCTTGAAGGCGCACGCGGTGGGCTTCCCTGGTCTGGGGACTGGTAAGAGTACCCCCAAGGGACCAAAGGCTGGGGACAGGGAGGGGACTCCGGGGCTCGGGCAGATGACCCTTCCAGGTGTGCCAGGGCGTAAGGGATAGGGGTGGGAATACCTGTAGTAGTCCTCCTTGCAGTAAATGCTACCGTCCTTGGCGAAGCAGGTGAGCTCGGACTCGAGGGCCAGCTTACATTCACAGCATTTCAGGCACCTCAGGTGCCACTGCTTGTCCACGGCCAGCAGGTAGTACCTGTCGGCGATCTTGCCTCCGCAGCCGGCGCACAGGGCGGGCTTCTCAGGGCTCAACGGAGGCATCCCCTGCAAGGAAGCGCGCGCGGCGTCAGGAGGGCGCGCGGGGCCGCCCCACGCGGGTACCCTTCGCGGCGCCAGCCCTCGGCCTCGGCGAGCGCCGCAAGGTCAGGGGCCCCTGCGCAAAGGCAAACGTCGGAGGAACATTTGCAGTTTTTCCCTCTGCGACTCGCACGCTTTCTACTGCGTCCGCCTGAACGCGGCGTCCGCGTCCTTCCCGGACTTAACCTAAAAACACGCGCCGGCCACCTAGAGCCTTTTTCGAAAGGGCTAGGAGCGCACGGACTATAGTTTGGTGGATGTTTCCAAACTCGAATAATTAAAAGTTAAAAATTGTGGGTTCCGATGCGCACGAAATAAGACAACGGAAATTGTTATTGGAGAATGGAAAGGCGATCTGAACAAGCACATATTGTTTTTTCAACAAATACTATTACATTGCTATTTCTCTAAATCCTTATCAGTAACGTTGAAATTAAAAGGAAGGGAGAGGTTTTTATACTGGTGCTCATAATTTGGTCGACATTGTCTTGATCGGGATGTATGTGGCAGATCTTGCTGTTCAATCTTCAGGGTTATTGGTCCTTCCCCTAGTAAGGGTGTACCGTGCCTGTTCCCGGGGAGGGTCCGTTATCCCCTCTGCACGAGCCCTCT